CTCCCTTTTTCGAAAAAACGTCTAGACGTTCTCTTTCAAAAAAGCCCTGTTTGCATGCATTAGCCATGATCTGCCTTCCCCCCACCCCAAGGGACACAGAGTGGATCTGTGGGGGGAAGGGTCCTGCCTGTGCCTGGGGAGGTAGAGCCGACCAGCCGACCTGCCCAGCAGCAGCTAGAAGAAACCGAGCAGAAATGAGGAAGTTCGGGCAGTTGTGGGGGAGGGAGGGGGGAGTTTATGAACTCATCACGTTTCCTCTGGGGTCTCTGCGGAACCAGCTATTCATCTGCTGCTGCATGAGGCTGTGGCCCTGGCCCTGAGCCCTCTGCAGGAGCCCAGAGAGGGGGCAGAGAGAACCCCCATTAATACACACAGCCCCACAGTGATGGGCCCTGCCCGGGAGCACTCAGTACCATGGGGAGGGAGGAGCTCGGTCTCCATGGCCTGTCCAGCCCTCGCTCTTCCACTGTGGCTGCCAGTGAGGGGCTAGGTAGGGTCCATGGAGATGGGTTCTCCCCTGTGGCCTTGGCAGTGACTCACTGAGCAGCCATCAGCCGGGGTCATTCTTGGACTTGGCTTTGCACTGGAGCAGCTGCTTCTGGGGCAGGTTCACAGAAAATGCCCATGAAGGGGGCTGCCTGGTCTGAGGAAAGCTTGGCACAGGGGCGCCCAGGAACCCCAACTTGCAATTCCAAATTCCACAGACGATCCTAATCCCCGTGGGCAGAACTTCCCCCTCCTGCACCACGGGCACCCAGATCAGGATGGGAGATTTCGTTACCTGCAGGGAACACCGGCCTGGGGAGCATCTGGAGAGAGGCTGGAGGAGAAGAGGAAGGAGGAGGTGAGAGCTCTGGAGAGGAGAAAGGAAGGGAAAGGGGTGCAAAGAGATTCAACAATTCGAGGGGAGGGTTGCTGGACAATACACAGACACACAGAGGGGGTGGGAGCCGAGGGGGGCACTTACCCAGCAGAGGCAGGAGGTGAGTTGGCTCCATGCTGAGCTGGTGTCTCTCGGCTGGGAGCTGGGTTCTCAGCTCAGCTGCTTGACGAATGTGAGCGCAGGGAGGGGGACGGGCCCCTCTGCTCTGGCAGAGGAAGTCACAGGCTCATGCGTGGTCACCGCTCAGCTCAGGGGTGACAGACACACCAGAGGCTGATGCACAGGAGGAGGGGAGCTCACCATTTGCATGTCTCGCAGTGGTGGGGGCGGACTCCACCAGTACAAAGGGACCTGGAATGAGTTGCAGTGGCTCTTACACCCACTGGGGATCTGGCCCAGGGGATGGGGTCCATTGACATCCACTGGGCCCTCGCTCATTGACGCTGAAGACTTGGGAACTGCCCCATGGTCGGTCTCGAGTCTGACACATTAACACTTGGAGGCTCTGCTGGGGCACCAGGAGCCTTAGCCCAGAAGGGCAGTGAATGGGCTGGGGAGGATTTCCAGTACCCCAGCCCCGACCCTGAGGGTTGAGATTGACTCCATGCGGGGTAAGAGGCCGGGCGCAGCTGGGGATGGACTTAGCTGAGGAAGGGCTGGCCCAGATGGAGAGATGGAACGCATGGCAGAGTCTGAGGCTCTATCATCAGCGCTGCTGTGCCAGACCCAGCTATGGAGGTTACCCAGCCAGACCCTCTTGTCTTCCCCCAATGAAGGCACATGGGCGGGGGTCACAGCCACAGCAGAGCCACACAGACACGGAGACGACCAGTGTCACCAGAACCCCACGTAAATCTGTCTCACTCTGTAAATAGTTTATGCAGACTGAGCTCACAAGCGGTTTACTCCTTTGTCAATGAGAGAGAGAGAGATGCGCCCTGGGTGAGCTGGTGAAGCCTATGGTCAAAGATAGACTCATGGGCGACCTTAAGGTCGGTGTATGAAGAGGGCAACTGTTCTGTGAATGGAGCTCATGTTTGAAAATTCCCCTCTGATCTATCAGGAAGTCGGAGAGCAAAAGCGAGAGCGTGGGGTTTCTTAGAAGGGACGTTCTGTGTGCTGCTTACAAGAGAGAAAAGCCAGAACAGCTCCAACCCTAGAGAGAACCTCTCTGCATGGAAATCCCTCCTAGCAGGGGGACCGGATGTGAAGATGGGATCACAGCCTGGCCCTGAACAGCGAGCTCCCTCTGGGAAATTCAACCTAAATGTGGGGAAATAAACACTTTGCTCAAGGCTGCAGATCCCACACAGGAAATTCAAGGGCTCTTAGTGACAGACAAGGTGGGTGAGGAGTTTCTCAGACACAGCGAGGTTGAGTAGGATGGAGGCGAGGGAGTAGACACTGCAGCAACTGGAACATTTATCCCACGGACAATGGGCCCAGCAGTGCAGGTTCATGTTCTGTCTGAGCATGGCAAGGGGAATGCGAAAGCAAAACCAACACCGAGGCCAGGACTCATACAGGGACGCGGTTGGGCTGGAGAAATGCACCGGTGAAGGGAGAGTGAGTTGGTAGCTGACAGCAGGGACTTCGCCAGGCCCTGGGTGAAGAGTGTGTGTAGGGTTTCCTCTGGGCACACTGGAGTAGGGGTCCAGCTAGCCCTCAGTGGATCATGCTGCTCCGTCCCTCACCAACCCACAGAGCTGCCCTGGCTGGGAAATACCCCAGGGCCAGTGACCCAAATCCCCAGTCGACTGCTCTACCTCGCAGCCTTGGGCAGCCAAATCCTCAGCCCCTCAGCCCCATTCTTGAATTCTCCCTGAGAGGCATAAGGATCTTGCCCCAAAATGTCTCAAATAGATTATGCAAATGAAGCATGACAAAATGCTAATCAGCACTTCATTTACATACTCTCTGCTGGCAATAGCAGTGTTGACGAAGCCTAAAGATTCATTAAAAATGGAATAAACGAGTTCTCTGCAGGTGACAGCCAGAAAGAGACACCCCAAGTCGTACCCATCTAAATCTGGTGAGTGACACAGCTCCGGTCATCTGTTATTCTAATGGGTTCTGTTGGCCGACCCACAAGGCCACCGTGGGCATCTTTGGCTTCAGTTCAAAGTCTCTGGCCCTTCAGCGTTCAAACAGCCAAAAAGCAGATTCTTCTTGTCAGGGATTTTTATTCCCTTGTCCGAGAGGTCGGGAGGACGGGACCAGTTCACATGCTTGCCTCTGGGTCTGAGGAGCGAACAGCCAAGTATTTTGTGCTCTGATGGTTCACAACAGTTTGTCTGATGTCGAGGGCCCTTCTTTCACTGGCAGGAAATCGCCCTGCTTGTGGCAAACTTGTATTTCACACTTCTCTCCAGACTATGTGGGTATTGACAGTTACAGAGGAAGCACTTAAATATCAGCTGATAACATGACGTGTGGCCATGATCGGTGAGATTAACGCAGGCAGCAGCAACACAGAAACATTTTATAGATTCTAAACATTAAGCACATTCTTGCAAATGTAATATTGATATTAAGAAACATTACATACATTCTCATACGTCTTATTCTGATATCAAACAAAACTAACACCCAGGTGGCTTGGCCTAGTCTCCAGGGATGAGGTTGTCAGCTCTTAGCTTGCACTTGCAGCTAAGAAATTGCTGGTCTCAGACTTGCAGGAGCAACCAATTCACGTGGTGTTTCTTTGTGGGCAGTTCACTTGAGCCCCAAAAACTCATAGATCCACACTTCTGGATATAAGTCTGGCTTGTCTTTCAAATACCTTCACAACTTATTTCTAACTACATGCATAACCCTTTAAACACAACGGCTGTGTCTAGACTGGCCATTTTTTTCCAGAAAAACTTGCCAGCTGTCTACACTGGCCACTTGAATTTCCCCAAAAGCACTGACTTCCTACTGTAAGAAATCAGTGCTTCTTGCAGAAATACTATGCTGCTCCCGTTCAGGCAAAAGTCCCTTTTATGCAAAACTTTAGCGCAAAAGGGCCAGTGTAGACAGGTGAGATTCGTTTTCCGCAAAAAAGCCCCAATTGTGAAAATGGCGATCGGGGCTTTTTTGCACAAAAGCACGTCTAGATTGGCACGGACGCTTTTTCACAAAAAGTGCTTTTGCGGAAAAGCCTCCGTGCCAATCTAGACGTGCTTTCCGTTAAAAGCATTTCTGGAAAATCATGCCAGTCTAGATGTAGCCAACCAGTACACATATCACACATCACTAATCACGTGTACGTGACTTCCGAGTTCTGTTGAGGGAGGAAAGAGAAATACGAGGGGGAGGGGAGCTGATAAGAAAGAGGCTACTGACATTTTTGGGTGTCTGAACAGGAAGTCTGTGGCAAGGGAGATTTAGATGGGGCTTTACAAGAACTGTTCTACCTCTAAAGGCAGTTAAGCTCTGAAAAAGAGGGGACCTGGGGACATTGGGAAATTTCTGTCATAAGCCAGACACCCTTCGGGATGTTCCAGGTTGAAGTTACACTACCACTTGAGGAGGAGGCCAGAACTGATGACCTCTTGAGGTCCTTTCTCACCCCAAAATTTGAGGGTATGTCTACACTGCCAAATACGGATTTCACAGAGACTTAGAGAACAGTCGTATCTCCGCCTGTGTCACTCTCACATACACTCCCCTGTGACATTGTTTGCCAGAGTGGTTTGGGAGATTATTCCTCACAAGGCAGAGTACGGACCCACATTTTCACAGTTGCGGGCGGGAGGTGAATACTGGACACAGTTGTAGTTCAGTGGGTGGCTGAAATACTCATGGTGCTCAAAGCCCTTTCAGACCCTGTGGGTGTTTCCACTTTTCCCCCCCCCAATTGCAGCCAATGGGCCACCTTGTAGGAAGAATCCAGGGCACAGGATGAAAGGCCACTGAGCAGAACAAGCCAGATACCTCGGTCTAGAATAATCGGTAGGAGACGAGGAAGATGAGGCCATTGATGAGGAAGAAGGAGCCTCCTACCACCAACTCCAAGACCAAGCAGGCGTCGTGAGCTGTAGAGATTCCCCCCCCCAATTGCAGCCAATGGGCCACCTTGTAGGAAGAATCCAGGGCACAGGATGAAAGGCCACTGAGCAGAACAAGCCAGATACCTCGGTCTAGAATAATCGGTAGGAGACGAGGAAGATGAGGCCATTGATGAGGAAGAAGGAGCCTCCTACCACCAACTCCAAGACCAAGCAGGCGTCGTGAGCTGTAGAGATGGAGAATCATGAATGGAACCAGCCAGTTAATGTCACTGTTGAGCATCCTGCCCGTGGTATCAAAGATTTTGTGCCTCTAGAATTTGTGGATCTCAGAAGCCCATCGGGAAACTGACCCTCAGCGCTTCCCAGTCTGGCATGTGGACACTGACCCCTGATCCTTCCTGTCTGTGTCTGTCCCTATCCTGCCTGCCTGACCAGTAACACCGCTGTGACCTGCACTGTCCTTGCTTGTCCAGCCAGAATAGTGGGGAACTGTGGTGCTTTGGGACAAGAACCTTGGGGGAGATGTTAGCAGGCAGCGGCTGACTCACCTGACACTGTGAAGTTCCCAGTGACAGTTGCAACCTGGCTCCTGGGGGACAGGACCCACCTGCCAGCCACGTTCTCCTCGTACCCGCAGGTGAATTCCCCGGTGACGTTGGGACCGGCCCGTGGGATGCTGAGCACTGAGACGTTCACTGATCTGGGCTCCACGGTGCTGATCTCAGACCCCAGATCCCCAGGAACGAGCTCGATTCCGTCCTTATAGAAGTGAAACCTCCGCTCACGGGCATCCCTGGGGGCCGTGCAGATGAAGTTCAGGGAAAACCCTTCGCTCACCGCTCCAGACGGGGGATCCATGCTCAGCTCTGGCTGGGGAGGGAGATCTGCAGGGAGCAGAAAAGGGGAGGGATCAGCAGGGCAAGGAAGTGGAGGTCAGAATTCGGTTCATTCCCAGCTGAACTTTGTTCTCTCTCCAGAGCCTCTGGTCTCATTGCAGGGCCCCAGGGGTTCCTCACAGAAATGAGCAGGAGCCGGGCTAGGGATGGCTTCCTTCCCATAAAACATGGGAATGAGATATGGGGGGGTGAAAGGTGGGCAAGGGCAACAAGACATCGCTGGTTTTTTGTCCCCCCCTCCTGTGCCAATGCTCCATGGAAATGCACAGAAACCTATCCACTCTGAGGGTATGTCTACACTAGCCCCCTAGTTCGAACTAGAGAGGCTAATGTAGGCATTCAAACTTGCAAATGAAGCCCGGGATTTAAATATCCAGCCTTCATTTGCATGTTCCTGGGTGGACGCCATTTTTAAATCCCCTTAATTTGAACTGACTGCCCGCGGCTACACACGGCAGTCCGAAGTTAATCCGAACTAAGTCCTTAGTTTGGATTAACTGTTACTCCCCCTGCAATGAGGTGTAACAGTTAATCCGAACTAAGGACTTAGTTCGGATTAACTTCTGACTGCTGCGTGTAGCCGCAGGCAGTCAGTTCAAATTAAGGGGATTTAAAAATGGCGCCCGCCCGGGAACATGCAAATGAAGCCCGGGATATTTAAATCCCGGGCTTCATTTGCAAGTTCGAATGCCTCCATTAGCCACCCTAGTTCAAACTAGGGGGCTAGTGTAGACATATCCTGAGTGACACAGGTTGGTTCTACTCACCCTGGATCTCTGGTCTCTGCCCCTCAGTGACCCTGGTGGTTCGGGCCCATAGGATGGCCAGTTGGGACACCCAGCACTCAGAGGCATCCGGCCATGGGGCCAGCAAACAGCAGATAACAGGGGGTCTCACCAGTCACAGCTATGGGGAAGTTTTGGCTCCTCTCTGATGGGATCCTTCGCCCAGACTCTGTCTCCCAGTAACCACAGTTGTACACGCCGGCTTCTGAGTCAGACACACACGACAGCTGAAGAGACCTGACATTGTACTGAGACCACTGGAGCTCTCTGGAGCTGATTCTCTGGCCATCCCTGAAGAACCAGAACCCAGACACCTTGGCAGTGCGGGGAGCTGAGCACGTCAGGGTCACAGATTCCCCACGTAGGAAGACGCGGTGTTGTGAGCTCATGGTGAGTTTGGGGGCAGGCGGCCATGCTGGAAGGGGTGAGGGAGGAAGTGGAAAACTCTTCAGAGCCAGCACCCCACTCACATAAACACTTACCCCCCCCAGCCCTCTGCCAGTCCCACCCAGGGCTTCCCCCTGCCCCTCCTTTGCCCCTGGGAACCTAGCCCCTCTGCACAGCTCTGGGTCCCTGCCAAGGCTCGGTGGCTGCACCATTGGAGGGTGCCAGGGTGGATGCACTGAGCCCTGTACAGGTGAGCGGGGACCCAGGTGAGGAGCTGAGGGCCCTTGGGGGGGGCAGGGCTGGAAGGCAGGGCCGGGAGGAACCAGGGTCTCTGATGTTTCCTCCTCTCTCCCCAAGGCAGAGAATGAACCAGCCCCTTAGTGACCCAGGTGGGTTGGGCACATGGGATGACCTGTCGGGACACCCAGTGCTTGGGGTCACATGGCTGATGGGCCCACACAAGTGAAGCCAGGAAATCATCTCCCTGCCAGCTCCCCTTCCCCATAACTCCAAGGGGCTGGGTGCTCCAGGGACACAGGGACTGATTCTGACCAGAGACGGGGTAAAACTGACCCCATGGGGACCTAGTCTGGACCTGAGTGACCAGGCTGTATCACTCAGTGTACGAAGGAGAGACACCCTGCCATTGGGCAGCCAACGGCAGGGGGCGGGGGTCTCACCAGTCACTGCGATGGGGATGGGTCGGCTCCTCACCGATGGGATCTCTCGCCCAGACTGTATTTCCCAGTACTCACAGCTGTACTCTCCATTGTGGGAATCAGACACTCTCGACAGCTGAAGGGAGCTGCCATTGTACTGAGACCTCTGGAGCTCTCCAACGTCGATTCTCTGGCCATTCCTAAAGAACTGGATCCTGGACACGTTGGCAGTGCTGGGAGCTGAGCACGGCAGGGACACAGATTCCCCAGGTAGGAACACTCGGTGTGGTGGGTTCACAGTGAGTTCGGGGGCAGACAGCTGGTCTGGAACAGGGGGAGGGAGGAAGGAGAAAACTCTTCAGAGCCAGCACCCCACTCACGTAAACAGTAACCTCCTCACCCCTCAGCTGGACCCAATGTAGGGACAGGTTTGAACTCAACGTAAAAAGAGTGTGTAGCCCTTTTACATAGTTAAAACCCCAAATGTGGCATCTGGCTAAGCTTTCTAGAGGCCGGCTGGTCCGTCGGCCTAAGACCCATAAGGCCCGGCTGGCCTAGCCAAAGCCTCGATTTTAGTGGGAAAACAGGATGAACGTAAAAAGCAACCCTGCCCGTTTATCGTAAAGTAGAGAAGAAGCATAATAATTGGTAGGGAACCATAACTAAACTCTCATCTCATGTCACACACCCATGCAAGGCCAAAGTCCTAGAAGGGGCCTCAGCGTTTGGCCATCCTCCTAAGATAGAAACAACAGCTGCCTTCTCAAGGCCAACCACGAATAGTTAGAGATATCGCCCCCCTTTCGCAAGCCCAATTTGCTTATCTAGCAAAGGTATTCTTTAAATCAGTGTTTCTTAAACTGTATTCCCCCACTGTATGTCGAGGCAGTTGGAGGTGTGCCATGGAGAACAATAGAATTCAAAATGGCTGCTCTTAAAGGGGCAAACCCCCCCCCACACACACTTTTTTTTTTTTTCTCAGCAAAATTTTTTGTTCCTCATTAAAAACAAAATTATTGGTTGGTATTCTTCGTTCTTAAAAAGTTTAAGAAACACTGCTTTAAATAATTGCCTGCTGTGTATCTCACTCGTGTTTTGTTTTTTGCTCTCTATCCCTAAAAAAGCACCTATGGACCATACCTATCGGGGATACACCGCTACAACTCCTACGCATGACAAGTGGAATGTAGCTACACCTCACACATTTTGGGGGGAGGGGTGGGGATATACACTAAAGTTTAGTATGGGTATGTCTACACTAGACCCCTAGTTCGAACTACGGAGGCTAATGTAGGCATTCGAAGTTGCAAATGAAGCCCGGGATTTAAATATCCTGGGCTTTATTTCCATCTTCCCGTCCGGTCGCCATCATTCCAGGAGGAGTAACAGGTGATTCAAACTAAGGACTTAGTTCGAATTACCGTTTAACTGCCGCATGTAGCCGCGGGCAGTTACTCCAGACTAGTGGCATTTAAAAATGGTGACCAGTCGGGAACATGCAAATGAAGCCCGGGATATTTAAATCCTGGGCTTCATTTGCAAGTTCGAATGACTACATTAGCCACCCTAGTTCGAACTAGGGGGCTAGTGAAGACATATCCTAACTCTGTTAACCATGAGCAATGGGTGGAGTTACTATGTCATCTTTTAGACTTTTGGCTTATTGGCTCATCATATCTTGCTGTTAGAACCGATCCAGGGTCATGGGGACCATGGCTTCCCTCCACCCATTGCCCCTTGTACCCCAGCCCCTGTGCACAGCTCAGGAGCTGCGCTATGGGAAGATGCCAGGGTGGATGAACTGAGACCTGTACAGGTGACCGGGGACCCAGCATGAAGGCCCTTAGGAGCGGCAGGGCTGGAAGGGAACCGGGGTCTCTGATGTTCCCTCCTCACCCCAAGGCAGAGGATGAACCAGCCCCTCAGTGACCCTGGTGGGGTCGGGCCCATCAGATGGCCCGTCAGCACACCCAGCGCTTGGGTCACATGACTGGTGGGCACATGCTGCTGTAGCCAAGAAATGACCCATCTGGACCCAGCTGATCCGCTGCGACATCCTGCAGCTGTGAGGGGCCCTGCTCCGTGCCTGGCTCCTGCCATCAGCACCCAGCCTTTTCCCACCCCACCTCCCAGACTGAGCCTGCCCCGTCCCCCAGCCTGCTTCTGCCCCACGCCCTAGCTTGCATCTGCCTCGCTCGTCCCTTGTTCCCAAGTAGTTTTTCTACCCTCTCTCTCTTCTCATTTGGAGGGTCCCCTCCTTCTTGCCCCCCACTCTACCTCATCTCATCGGAAGAAGTGGGCTCTGCCCACAGATACTCACGGTACCAGATATTTATTTGTGTTCGACTCTAAGGTTGGTTCTTCATTATGCCAAATCGCTCAAGCTTCCACAGCAAGATGGACTCATCCCTCACGGGGCTGGGCAAATTCCAGGTCCAGCCCCGGCAACTTCACATCCCTCACCCCACAGCCTGCTGCCCCCAGGAGCTGTCCTCCCCGCCCGTGTCCAGCAGACCCAGCCTGTGCCTGGGCAGGTTGAGCCGACCTGCCCAGCAGCGGTAAGCAGGCATTGAGCAGAAATGAGGAAGTTCAAGAGGATGTCGGGGAGGGAGGGTTTCCTCTGGGCTTTGTGCAGCACCTGCTTTTCCTGCCCTGTTGGGCAGGGCTCGGTCTGTGGCCCTGAGCCCTTAAAGCCCAGAGCTGGGGCAGAGTGACCCCCTCCCCACAACCCCACATAGCGGGAGGGGGAGTTTTGTGTCCATGACCTGCCCAGACCTCACTCACTCTTCTCTCTGTTGGGGCTGCCCATGAGTGGCTGGGTAGTGCCCATGGGGATGGGGCAGCTTCTCCCCCATGGCCTTTTCTGGGACCCACCAAACAGACCCTCCCAGCAGGCACAGAAGAGATCACTCTTCCATCCCCAGGGATGTCAGGGGATGCCACATGAGAGGAGCAGAATCCCAGCCCCACTGCCAGGACCCCTCTGCCCTACCCCACCCACTGCCAGCATCCTAGTGATGCCAGGAGACCTCGTTACCTGCGGTGGACGCCGGCCTGGGGAGACTCTGGAGGGAGGCTGGAAGAGAAGATCAGAGGAGTGAGAGCTCTGGGGAAGGGGTTGGGGATGTGGGGCAGGGCTGGGGGAGTGTCATGACAGACAGACAGGAGGGGGGGGGGGGGGCAGGCAGGGCAAGCACCC